AGTACAAAGAATCATTTCTGGAGCAGCTTAAATAAGGAACCTAAGTACATGGTGCTGCAATCCTAGAAATGGAGTGGGATGCAGTAATTCAATATTGTGTGTCTGATGAATACTGAGAGTAGGCAACTATTCTCACATTATTGTGTTTCATGTATAAAGCAGTGGATATCCAGAATTTCATCTCAAAGGATGCTAAACAGCAGATCCTGCTTGTGTAACCAGTTTACACAGTCATTCATTTGTAAAATACTGATTGGTCATCAGCCATGCTTCAGGCGTTCTGTGATGCACTGGGGAAGGGAGATGAAGGGCACAGGCTTCCCCTCTCTGCATACCAGCTGGTGCACGTGTAGCATGTATCGCTGCCGTGCTGTGCTTCCACAGTTCCATGACTGCTCAGAATGCTGTGAGAATGCAGAAGAGGGGCACGGACAAATCAGACTGGCTGTGGGGGATTGACGGGACTTCCTGGAAGTGGTGCCAGAGCTGAGGTCAAAAGTGAAAAAGGAAGCATGAAAAAGAATGAGGATGATTGGCGGGAGGGAAGCTTTCAAATAGGATGATTAGTGACTCACCCTTAGGTACCTGCCCCTGGATGCTTGTTTATCAATTAAAGGATAAAGTGGAGAGAGTGGCAATAGTGAGGAAAGTTTCTTCCCCAAACTAAGGAGACTGGGTGGAAGAATCATTTTTTTTTTAAAGATTTATGTATGTATTTGAAAGGCAGGATTACACAGAGAGAGAAGCAGAGAGAAGGGGAGAGGTCTTCCATCCACTGGTTCACTTTCCAAATGGCACAACAGCCTGAGCTGGGTCCCTGCAAAGCTAGGACCCTGTAGCTTCTGGGTCTCCCACACAGGTGCAGGGGCCCCAAGGACTTGGACCATCTTCCACGGCTTTCCTTGGCCATAGCAAAGAGCTCGTTCAGAAGTGGAGCAGCCCGGACTCAAACTTGCGCCCATGTCAGGTTGCTGGCACTGTAGGTGGTGGCTTTACCCACTATACCACAGTGCTGGCCCCTGGAAGTTTATTTTAATTTTTAATTAGTTTTTAACAGCTTCTATGTGATTTGTAAATGCAGTTGGGTGGAACATTGTAAACAAGTGACTGATCTCTTATGCTCTGCTGTTTCTAAGGATTTCTGTGGAGATAGGAGTAAAGCAGATCATGAGTGAGGCGTCGCTAAATCCCGAGCCTTACAGATTGGCGGGATGGTAGCATGATAATCTAGGCGAGAAGTGTTTGGGGCAGACTTTGTAGTTTGAGAACAAATTTTCAAAAATAGCATCACTAGGACTTGGGATATAAAGGAAGAAAAAGAGTCCGATATGATTCCTAGACTTCCAGTTTGGAACAAGTGGGCGTGTGAGGATTTGAGTCAATAAAACACAGTGGGGAATGGGAAGAGATTGAATTGTGTATTAGATTTTAATATTTTGAGGCCTTTTTAGAGACTTGTGGGCAGAACTGAAGATGTCTATTGGGCAGCTGAATAGATGCGACCCTTGTCATGAGAAAATTGGAGATTTTGATGTTATCAGAGCATAGGTGGTATTTTAATCATAACAGTACATGAAATTACATGGATGGAATAATTGTGCGAAGAGAGGATGGTAAAGGTGGAGACATCAAAGATACTGGCAGAACAGAGGATCCTGACAAGTGACGGAAGGAACGGAAAGGATCCTGATAGAGTGACAGAAAGGAAATGGGAGGAGGACAGGTTGATGGAAGCCACGGAAGAAGAAAGTTCCATAAAGAAAACAGTAGCCCTTGCGGCCCGAGTGCACGCAGCCTGTGTGTTGCTCATTTCAGATGGTCTTTCGGATGAGGTCTTTGGTGTGTAAGCCAGAACAAGCTCCTGAAGCAGGGCTGAGAGAATGGGAGGTAATGAGGAGGCAAATGCACAGTGAACTGTGACTCAGCGCTGTGGATGGGCTAGTGAGTGACGGTATGGGAGGAGGTGATGCAGGGCAGGGAGTGCATGTGTGTGTGTGTGTGTGTGTGTGTGAACAGCAGCGCTTGAGCAGTGTCCTCAGTTCAGGGAAGAGAGAGAGAGTGTAAACCACAGGAAAAGGAGGAGGTGACTGATGTGAGTCGAAGGAGCGTGGAGCTGTGGGTAAAGGGGAAGACCCGTTTCCCACACGTCTTGAGCAAGGTTAGGTGGAAGGCGCCCGTGAGCTGGGGGTGCAGCAGTAGGCAGCTGCGTTCTTTGTGAATTAATGGTCACCTTGCAAGGAAAGGAGCGAGAAGACCAAATCAGGGGCCTTGAGGGACACAGGGAGGGAAGCTGCCTCCTTGTAATGTCTCTGCCAGCGAATCTGTCACTGGCCCTGCCAGTGTTTAACAGTGGAATCTGAATAAAGTGCATTTCATTTTATTTCCATTATCTCTCCCTGTGTAAGCTCTTTTTATACTGAGATTTATGTGCAATGTAGGATTGAATAATTTATTGAAATTTAAGCTGCAGTAAATATTTGATTAACAATATATGTATAAAATTAAACAGCTCCGTCAGATGTCAGGGGTTCTGCTCTGCCTGATTGCTTTCTATTTTTCTCTGCTTAAAGTTTCCACATTTTTTCCCTTTCACTATGAACATTTAAAATCCAACTTTGTATGGCTGATCATACCACAGACTTAGATATACAAAGAGGCATAGAGGTGTTGCTTTGGGAATTTGCCAGAAATATAAGCTTCAAATGGGAATATTACCATAGCATGCAGTTCACTCTGCTTAGGGCTTTACTGTAAAAAAAAAATATATATATATATATACATATACATACATATATATATATATATATATATATATATATATATATAGGCCAGCGCCGCGGCTCACTAGGCTAATCCTCTGCCTGCGGTGCCGGCACCCCGGGTTCTAGTCCCGGTCGGGGCGCCGGATTCTGTCCCGGTTGCTCTTCTTCCAGGCCAGCTCTCTGCTGTGGCCCGGCAGTGCAGTGGAGGATGGCCCAGGTCCTTGGGCCCTGCACCTGCATGGAAGACCAGGAGAAGCACCTGGCTCCTAGTTTTGGATCAGCATGGTGCGCCAGCCACAGCACGCCGGCCGTAGCAGCCATTGCGGGGTGAACCAACAGAAAAGGAAGACCTTTCTCTCTCTCTCTCTCTCACTGTCCACTCTGCCTGTCAAAAATAAATAAAAAATAAATATATAATATATAATATATTGTATGTAACATATAAAAGTAATTATTATATATGATATATAAATATATAAATAATAGCTAGAGAATTTGTACAAAACATTAAATAAACTTGTATTTTAGAACCAACAACAGAGAACTAAACTTTTTGTTGAATTCCAGGGTAAAATAATCAAGGATTGTTGAAGCTAACTTTCACAATTAAAATAACCAAGTTAGGGATATTTTTGTGTCTAATGTGTTCAGCATATTTGGACCCTTTGTGGTGCCAGCTTTCTGGGTAGAAGAGGTAGAAGTTCATTTAACTCCTCAGGATAAATTGTTTCCTTAAAGGCTCTGGGATGATCTTGGATAACCTGGCTTCTTAGATGCTGGCTTTATTTATGGCCTCTGCTAAGTATCCGGTTTCTTTCTGACAATCTACAAGCAGGTGATTGACAACAGAGACTGAACTGACAGGTTGTGAGTGATGTCCCCTCATAGTAAAAGCAGGAATTTAATAATTCACTTTAGAATCGTAGGGTAATTTTTATCATACCTGGAATAAAGTTAACCTTATGATTATTATGTTAGAAATAAAAGCAAGAGAGTTATAAACTAGGCTAATCCTCCGCCTTGCAGCGCCGGCACACGGGGTTCTAGTCCCAGTCGGGGTGCCGGATTCTGTCCCGGTTGCCCCTCTTCCAGGCCAGCTCTCTGCTGTGGCCAGGGAGTGCAGTGGAGGATGGCCCAAGTGCTTGGGCCCTGCACCCCATGGGAGACCAGGAGAAGCACCTGGCTCCTGCCTTCGGATCAGCGCGGTGCGCCGGCCACGGTGGCCGTTGGAGGGTGAACCAACAGCAAAGGAAGACCTTTCTCTCTCTGTCTCTCTCTCTCACTGTCCACTCTGCCTGCCAAAAAATAAAAATAAAAGAAGCATCAATAACATTAAATACCTTACTACTAAAATGTCACATGAAGAAAACTTAATTTTGTGTGCACTTGCTTCAGTGCTACTGTATCATAAAGCAGTACTGCAAATATTAAAACAAGAAGATATTTGCCATCCTGCTGTCCTATTCTAGAAAAAATTCCCCCAGTGTTATCCTGTACATGGTGACCTTTATCGCTCAGAGAAACATATGGAGCTATTGACTTGGTGTGGCTGAGGGAGTTTCTCTTCCCTCAGCCACCGCTCAGTTAGAAATCCCCACTGCTGGCTCTTGCCAAAGTCTTGGGAGGGCTTTGATAAATCCACTTCCTGTTGGTGTTCATGCTGAGGATGTCCCTTTCTTCTGTTCCTCTCTTTGTTTTCTGGTCACTTCTATTTTGCTTTTTTATACAACAGAGCGTATGCCATGATGATGCCCCTGCTAACGCTGGCTACCCCATCCCTCTCTATCCATCCATGAGAAATTTACACATGTGCTGTGTTTGTCCCTTTCCCAGCAGTGCTTCCTGCCGCCATGGTAGGAGCGAATGTGCCATCACGGCACCTTCTGTCCCCACCCTGCCTCTGAGTTCTGGAACTGTGAGCAGAGCTCCCTAAGGACCCCTGCCTCCCTGCCTACTTGGGGAAACTTTTACCAGGACCTGAACAGAGCTAGTGCTTTGGCACCTTTCCAGTACTTAGAACAGTGGCTCTGGCACTTGACTATGTGTGAGGAACATCACTGTCTGGTAAGGGTTGCAGATTCCTGGTCCCACCCCAGAGATCCAGAGTCAGTAGCTATTTGGGTAGAAAATGTTGTCCTCCCCTCACCATAAATGCAATGTCAGATCCATGAACCTTTGAGTGTGACCCCCCCCCAAAGGGCCTTTGTGATTTAAATTCAAGGTCTTGAGGGGAAGAGATTGTTTTGTATTCAGCATTCTTTTAAGAGAGACATACAGAATGAAAGGAAGACACAAGAGGAGGCAGCAGTGTGTGGCCACAGATGCTGAGACAGGAGTGAGGTGGCCTCCTAGAGGAATGGCGGCAGCCAGCGACTGCAGAGTAAAGGGACAGTCTCCCTTGCAGCCTCTGGAGGACAGCAGCCCTGCAGACACCTGCCTTCAGCCTTCTGGCCTTCAGAAACGTAAAGATGTCAGAGAAAGAACTCTGTTGTCTGAAGTGTTACAGTAGGTGCAGGAAGCTGGTCCAGTAGGCAGGGCGGTTTGTGCTGTCCAGCCTGCAGCTAGTGTGAGATGACACGTGGCATCTTGGTTGACATTTGATTGATGTTTTTAATGGAACTGAGATGGACAGTGTGAGATCCTCCTGCTTTCCTTTCCTGTAATTCAGGGGCATTTGGGTTAGTGCTCATCTGGATTCGTCCAGGTGTGTAGAGTAATCGAATCCATTATCTGATTTTGCTGTGTTGCACACCTGTGAAATAGAAGGGTGCAAATAAGTGTTAGAAATTCTTGGTTACCTATATTTATTTTAAAATCTGTCTTTTTTTTATTTTGGTTTTCATTATAACTTATTTTTTAGAGCAAATTTTTTTTTTACTTGTTAAGCCTGGATTCCAGGTTGATTGATTGCCAGTTTATTTATAAGTGTCTTAATAAGATTTTTGAAGCGCTATGCAATAAGAATACATAAATACAAATATAATATACACATGATCAAGTCTCATAATTGCTACAGACAGATCTTAAAGACCAACTCAATTTCTAGAGTTTCATCTTTATCACCATTTTAATATTTTCTTTTTTATGGTTTTTACCCTTTAAAACTTAAACTTTTTGTATGCACTTATGTTTTTCATTTTTCTCCAGGTTTACTTGGACTCATTTATGAATGTGTATATGTAGTTCTCTGCATTTTTTATCAGAATTGTGTATAGTTTGTGTTTATACACTCAAGGTACAGAGCAGGTGCCTTCCTACAAGGTGCAGAACTACAAGGTCCCTCGATTACCTTTTCACAACCTTCCCCAATCTCTAATGTTTTGTAGTAACAAATTTGTTTAATAATTTTGTTATTTTAAAAAGATTATACTATGTAACCATTGCTGTTTGCTTTTTCAGTCAGCATTATTCCGTTGGACATTGTCAGGATGGTTTTGTTTATCAGCAGTTGATTTGTGTTTATTCCTGAGGGGTGTTCCATGACATGGACATACCACAGTTCATTTAACCATTTTCCCCTTGGAGGATCTCAGGTATTTGCAGTTTTTGGCTTTTGCCAATAAAGCTACAGTGAATATTTATGTACAGATGTTCATGAGGACGTAACTTGAATTTTCTGAGGTCGTTGCCTAAGAGTGCTGTTGCTAGGTTGTATAATAGCATGTTCATTTTTTTTTAAGATATATTTGAAAAAGTTGGGGTGGGGGAAGGAGAGGGAGAGATGGAGGGAGGGAGGGTGGGAGGAGAGATATTTGTCTCTTCCATCCATTAGTTCACTCCCTAGGTGGCTGTAATGGCCAGGACTGAGCTAGGCAAGCCAAGAGCCAGGAGCGTTATCAAGGTCTCCCACAGAGGTAGCAAGGGCCCAAGCACTTGGTCCATCTTCGGCTGCTTCTCCTAGGCCATTAGCAGGGACCTGGATCAGAAGTGGAGGAGCCGGGACACAAACTGGGGCCATATGGTTGCTGGCGTTGCAGGCGGCAGTTTTACCTGCTGTTTCACAACAGCCCCTGCATGTTCAGTTTTTTAAGAAATTTGCCAAACTGCTTTGCAGAGAATACGAGACCATTTTATTGTCCTACCACCAAGGTGTGAATTTACAGTTTTTCTGCATTCTTACTGGGGTTGCAGGTGTATACTGGTATTTGGTTTCGTAGTTTCAGTCAGCATTTTTCTAGGTACTACTAATCTTTTGGTGATTCTTCACATCATCTGCCCATTTTATAATTTCATTGATTGTTTTTTACTGTTCTGATAGTTCTTTATATAGTTTAGATATTTTGTTGGATAGCCAGATTGCACAGATATCTTTGTGTCTTCTGTAAGCTTGTCTTCACATCTTTTTTAAAAGTCTTCGTAGAGCAAAGGTTTTCAATTCTGATGAGGTCCAATGTATCAGTTTTTGTTATGTGTTTTTTAGTGTCAAGTCTAAGAGTTCTTTACCTACCTTAGTTCATGAAGAGTTTGTGCTGTTTTTGTTTTCTAAAAGTTTTATCTTTCTGAACTCTGCATTTTAGTTTGTGATCCATTTGCGGTTCACTTTTTTTTTTTTTTTAAATAATGTAAGATCTGAGACCTAGGTGGAAGTTCTTTATACCTGTTCCCAAACCCCACAACCACTCAGTGTCTGGTTGCTCCAGCACTATGTGTGGACAGGACCATTCTGCTAAGTTGCTCTTGCACCTTTGTAAGCAGTTAGCTCTGTATATTTATGTGTGTGTATACTGAACTCTATTCGTTGGTGTGTTCATAGACTTGATTATTCTAGCTAAATAATAGGCATCAGTATTGGGTAGAGCAATTCCTTTCACATCATTCTTCTTTGTCAGGATTGTTTTAGCAATTCCAGGTTCCTTGCCTTTACATAAAATTTTTTATATAATCATGTCTGTGTCTACAAAAAACATGCTGAGATTTTGATAGGAATTATAATAAAACCTATAGATCAGTTTTCAGGAGAATTGACATTATTCACAGAAAAACTTGCTAGTCACAGAATGTTTTTATTTCCTGTTTATTCATCAAAAGTGATTTTGTTGAAATAAAACACACAGTTGAGAGTTCCTTAAGCATTTGAAACATGTTGAAATCCTTTTGGCCTTTGTGGTTTTATTGAGAAGTCTAATCTTAGTTGAATTGTTACTTTTTTTTTTTTTTTACAGAGTTCAACCAATAGTTTTAAATAGAATATAAAATGCATCTTTTGTATTGTTGTGGCCCCCCCCCACCTCCCTCCCTCCTGTGGCCCTCCCCTCACCCACTCCCTCTCCCATCCCACCCTTCATCACGTTTCATTTTCAATTACCTTCATATATTGAAGATCAACTTAGTATATACTAAGCAGGGATTTCAACAGGTTACACTCACACAACTGAACCAGGTATAGGGTATTGTTTGACTAGTAGTGTTGTTTTTGAGTTTCATAGTTAAACATATTAAGGACAGAGATCCTGTGTGGGGAGCATGAACCCAGTGACTCCTGTTGTTGATTTAACAATTGGCACTCTTATTTATGATGTCAGCAATCACCCGAGACTCTTGCTATGAGCTGTCTAGGCTATGGAGGCCCCTTGAGTTCAGCATGAATTGTTACTTTTGTCTTTCATACACATACAGTTAGCAAGATATTTTTTGACTTTTAGTTTGCATTGATTTCTGTTGGGTTTCCTTTGTTTTTATTTTTCCTATTTGGGGTTAATTAAGCTTCTTTAAAATATTCATTTATTTATTTGAAAGTCAGAGTTAAAAGGAGAGAGCATTCAGCTTCTTGAATCTGTTCTTTTATGTCTTTTTATATTTGAAAAATATTCAGCTATTCCTCAAATAATTGTTTGCAACTTCACCAGCTTTCTCCTCCCCTTTAGCACTGGGATTCCAATGTTAAAATTTTGAATCTTTTGTTATTATAATACAGGTCCTGATGTCCTGTTTCCAGTCATTCTTACTGGTGAATTCTGTCCTCTGTCTTCAGGATCAGTAGTTCTGTCCTCTGTTACCTGCCTTCTCCAGTTGAGCTCTTCCAGCAAGTTTTCTTGTTTCTGTGACTGTGGTTTTGGATGCCGTGGCTTTCATTCAGTTTAATTGTTACAAGTTCCAGTTCTTTGCTGAGATTTCATTTGCTTCTAGAGAACACTTAATTTCTGTTTGGTGCATTTTTGTTAGGGTTGTTTGAATATCCTTGTCAGAAAATTCTAACAAAATATGTCACTTTGCTGGCACTAATTGACCGCTTTTTTCTCACTCAGGTTGTGACTTACCTGGCCTTTGGTATCATGTATGATTTCTTAGTGTTTTTGGGACATTTGGGCTATCATGTCTGGCAGTTTTTGGTATTACTTTTGGCTTTGATTTTATCTGAGAGCCATCCTACTTAGGTCTGCACTGTGGTCTGCTTTTGATTCCAGTGAGATTTTTTTTTTTTTTTTGACAGGCAGAGTGGACAGTGAGAGAGAGAGACAGAGAGAAAGGTCTTCCTTTGCCTTTGCCATTGGTTCACTCTCCAATGGCCGCCGGGGCCGGCGCACCGCGCTGATCCGAAGGCAGGAGCCAGATACCTATCCTGGTCTCCCATGGGGTGCAGGGCCCAAGCACTTGGGCCATCCTCCACTGCCTTCCCGGGCCACAGCAGAGAGCTGGCCTGGAAGAGGGGCAACCGGGACAGAATCCGGCGCCCCGACCGGGACTAGAACCCGGTGTGCCTGTGCCGCAGGCGGAGGATTAGCATAGTGAGCGGTGGTGCTGGCTCCAGTGAGATCTTAATTTTTAGATTCTTTGTCTGATTTGGTCTCTCGTTCCTCTGCTGTCTGTGCTCTTCCCTGGTCCTTCCAGGTGCCTCCTGGGGGTGCCAAGCTGCTTCCCAGGCTCCTGATTGCCTGGTGACTCCAAGCTGGAGAAGGGGGTCTGGGAATCAGGGTGCTTCCTCTGAAGGCTGTTGTCAGTGAGGTTCTTAACTGACCCTTCGGTTTGGTGCTGCTGTGCCCCCCTTGTTGTCATTGCTGGGATTCCCGCGTTGTCCAAGGGAGGAGGAGTGAACCTGCCTTTGGTGCTGCCTCTGCTAGTTTGAAGGTCAGGAGATAGGGTCTGGTTTGCTTTCTTCCCATAGGTGAATTCTTGAGAGACCTCAGCCTTTACTTGACTCCTTCTGCCATTCAGATTTTCTTATTGCAGATGGAGATAGAACTCTTTACTGATTCTCATGCCTCCCCAGCCCCCACCCCGATACTGTACACATTCTATATTCCCCTCCTGTCATCCTCCCAATCTCACTCTTGTGGTTACATTAGAATGTGGTGCCTATATCTTCATGATAATTAGTTATTGTTACTAGCTGGCTCTTGTCAAAGGTTTTTGTTTTGCTTTCAAAATACTTATTAGTCTATTCCCAAACATTATGAAATTGACTTTCATATGACCAAACATATCAACTAGTATGTGTTTCCTTCTCTCTCCCACTGCACCCCCCCCAATACCCTGATTTTACCTGGTAAGAGCCATTCTTCAGATGAGCCAGTTCCACTGCCATCTGTACACCTCTTCTCTTGGAGCTTCACGTCACTACCAACCCACCCGTATCCATCAGCGCGCCCCTCTGCTGTCGCTCCGGTTCCCTGGACTCCTGTCTGTGTCTTGTGTTTGCTTCATGTCAGTTGGGGCACAGCTTCTGAGAGTTTCTTGAGAATGCGCATGTAAGAAGTGAGTGTTGGGACTGGCGCCATGGCTCACTAGATTAATCCTCCGCCTGAGGCATCGGCCTCCCATATGGGCGCCAGGTTCTTGTCATGGTTGCTCCTCTTCCAGACCAGCTCTCTGCTGTGGCCCAGGAAGGCAGTGGAGGATGGCCCAAGTGCTTGGGCCCTGCACCCCATGGGAGACCAGGAAGAAGCGCCTGGCTCCTGGCTTCGGATCGGTGTAGTTCTGGCCGTAGCAGCCATTTGGGGGGTGAACCAACAGAAGGAAGACCTTTCTCTCTCTCTCTCTCTCTCTCTCTCTCTCTCTCTCTGTCACTCTGTCACTCTCACTGCCTAACTCTATCTGTCAAATAAAAAAAAAGTGAGTGCTTAGACACTGTTGGTCTTTGTAATTGTCTTTATTTTATTCTCACACTTGTTGAAGCTTACAGTTCTTGGTTGGAAAATATTTTCCAATCCTTCAGGATTTCCAGTGTTGCCCATTGCCTTACAAGCTCTCATTATTCTCTTGAGAAATGAAATAAAATCCCAAGTCGCACATCTGACTTTATTCCCCCTGCCTGAATGCTCTTAGAGACTTCTCTTTATCTTTCATAATTTCAAATTTTGCATTTTAATGCTTTGATGTGGTATAGAGCTGAGTCTCAGTTATTTCTTCTGGAAATTAGGATTTTTTTTCCTGGGAAATTGTGTACTTTTTTGTCCTTGTTATCTCTTTTTTGTTTTTGGTTTTTTTTTTTTTTTTGGAACTCTTCTAGAACACAGCTCCAAAAGTAGAAAGATTTTTGTTGAGTTCACAGCTTTATCCCAAATGCTTATTAGAACACTACTCCAGTTAGTAGAGTGGGTACTCTTTATGATAAATGTTTCTTGCATAAGTGAATAAATAAACTTCTACTTGGCAATTAAATCTCTAGGATTCATTTTCAAATTATCTTGCCTCTTCTGCTGTTCAGTTCTTCTACTTCTCTTCTTCCTCTTCCTCCTTTCCCCTTCCTCTTCCCTTCCTCTTTTTTTTTGCATTCTATATGCAGGGAAATTTTCAAAAATTGTGGCCTTTTTTTTCTTTTTCCTCTAGAATGTGTGTGTGTGTGTGTGTGTGTGTGTGTGTGTGTGTGTGTTTAAGATATTGGAAAGGCAGAGAGAGAGAGAGAGGAAGTCTTCTATCTTCTGGTTCTCTCCCAGGTTGCTGCAGCTGCCGAGCTGAGCCAATCTGAAGCCAGGAGGCAGGAGCTTCTTCCATTTCTCCCACGTGGGTGCAGGGGCCCATGCACTTGGGCCATCTTCCACTGCTTTCCCAGGCCATGCAGAGAGCTGTACTGGAAATGGAGCAGCCGGGACTCGTTGCAGGGTCTGTATGGGATGCCAGCACTGCAAGTGGTTGCTTTACCTGCCACGCCACGCGCTGGCCCTTAGAGTGTGTTTTTGTAAAGCACCTTTCACATCAAAGCTGTGCTGAGAGCCAGAACAATCCACAGGTATCTAGAATTGATTTTCTTTCTTTTCTTTTTTTGCCTCCCCTCCCCTCCCCTTCCCCTCCCCTCCCTTCCCCTCCCCTCCTCCTCCCTCCCTTCCCCTCCCCTCTCCCTTCTCCTCCCCTCCCCTCTTTTTTCTTCCTCCACCCTCCCTTCCTTTTCTTCCTTCCGTTCATTTACTCATTCTTCTGAGAGGCAGAGTCATAGAGAGAGGGAGACAGATCTTCCATCTGCTGATTCACTCCCCAGATAAATGGCCGCAGTGGCTGGAGCTGGGTCTATCCAGATCCAGGAAACCCCCCCCCCCGCCCCCGCCAGTGCAGGCGTCCAAGCACCTGGGGGCTATCCTCTGTTGCTTTCCTAGGCCACCAGCAGGGAATGGAACTGGCGTCTCTATGGGATGCTGGTGCTACAGGCGGAGGCCCAACATGCTGTGCCACAGTTTTGGTTCCTAGAATTGATTTTTATATATAGTAAAGTTGTGAAGATTTTTTTTTCTGTGTAGATGCCTATTTAACACAACATCATTATTAATAGGATCATCCTTTGTCCCATATAGCACAATGTCACATTTTTTCAAAAATCAAGTGACTATTTCATTGGTTTCATAACTGTATACACTGTTACACTGTCTTAACCAGTGTAGGTTTATAAGTAATGTTTGGTAATGAAAGGCCTCTAAATTTGTTTTTCTTCAAAATCATCAATGTGTCAGGGGTGAGTGTTGTGGTACAGTGGGTTAAACTGCCACTTGCATCCTGCATTAGAGTGACGAGGATCATGTCCCACCTATACTTTTTTTTTCTTTTTAAAGATTTCTTTACTTATTTTGAAATAGTATTTATTATAGAGAGAGGAAGAAACAGATCTTCCATCTGCTGGTTCAGTCTACAGATGGCCGCAGTGGCCAGCACTGGACCAGGCTCAGGCCAGGAGCTTCCTCTGGGTCTCCAGTGTGGATAGCAGGGGTCCAAACACCTGGGCTGTCCTCCGCTGTTCTTCCCAGGCTATCAGTAGGGAGCTGGATTGAAAGTGGAACAACCAGGATACAAACCTGCATCTGTATAGGATACTGGTATCACAGGCGGCAGTGTTACTATGTTACAAGACTGGCCCCTCCGCCTATACTTTTAATCTAGATTCCTGGCTATTGTGCCTGGCAGACACAGGGTGATAGCCCAGGTGTTTGGGTTCCTGCTACCCATGTGGGAAACCCAGAGTTCTTGGCTCCTGGCTTTGATGGGGCCCAGGGCCTGGTTGTTGTTGAATCTGTGTGTGTGTCCCTCCCTCTCTATCCTTTTGACTTCTTTCAAATGAGTAGGTCAAACTTTAAAAAGATAATGTCTGATTTTATGTATAAACACAGAAAAATGTCTGCTGAGATTTCAAATGAAGTTACATTAAATCTAGAGAT